AGATTATGAATGTGGTAGTTTGGTCCAGTGGCTTAGAGCTCACGTTTTGAAAGGAACCGAAAGTAAAAACGGACCAGTACAAGCTGGACTATGCTAGACGCTTGAAGACAGCCTGTCGCAATGGAAATGAACTGCTCTAACGTGGTAAGTCGGGTCACTCGGTTCATAATTTTTCATCCCCTTTTGAAAGGCTCCGAACAAACAAGGAACCAGGACAAGCTCAGGTTGTCCCGGTTTTTAATGTCCTTTCGGCGCTCCTCAAAACGCACAGTGTTCGGTTTCTAAACGCTGTTTTTATTTTGGCACGGAAATAAGACAAAAATACGTAATAATTTTTCACACCAGTGCAATGCAATACAGACTTCTATTTTCAGCAAGCTGCTTTCCGCCATGCTTCCATGTCATCCTCCAGGCCTTGAATGTTTGTGCACAGTGATTAAACTATTTACATCTAAAATGACATGCGCTAGAAATCTGGTACTTTCTTTTAGAAGCAGAATGTTAGTGCACATGAATTCTCCCAGCGTCTTGCCTTCTAATCGCGTGGAAGGAAAAGGGAAATATCGCGGGCATGATTCGTGCAGAAGGCTAGATTCAATGGTCGCCCATTATTTCTACAAACTCCCTGGCAGATACACTACCATAGATCCTGGTGTCCTTTCTCCAAGAAGCGAGGTTTTAATAAAACTTCGTTGCTCGGCCGCTTTTTTTTTTTTTTTGTAGTGGCGCGAAAAAAAAAAAAGAAATAGAGAGAGAGGAAAACAACAGTTTTCGCAAGCTGATTTTTTTTTTATTGTTTTTGCAATTGCGATATTTTGTAGTGTTTAGGTATGTCTTCGTGGTGTAAACAATTTTACGCGCTTCCCACAAATATTTCATCATCAACGACAGTTTTAAAGTATTACGCACTGCCTCGGGTGCTTTGACCTTACGCACTAGAGCGTCACAGGAGCGAGTATTTCCGCAAAATAAATACAAGGACCTATTTCTCCCTTTGAATCGACCACTTTGTGGCATCACTACGAACACACATTCACCATGAAGTTGTAACAAATAATGATTGATGATAAAATTGATTGGGTCCCAACAGAAGAGCCACATTATTTAGGTTGCAAATAAACAGGGCGTCGTTGATGTGATGTGTTTACTTCCACGTTCGAATGTGTTGAGAATGAGCAGCCGAAAAGCGCAGTCTGCAGGCTGCTTCCCGGAGTCGCCTGATATTTCCCCAACTCGGGAAAGGGGGGGAGAAAGGGGTGGATGTTTTTTGAAGGTGATAATATTTATTCTCACTCAGGAGAGTCGCCGGTCGTTAAAAAGTCGACTCGCTGATAACGGGAAAGCCTGTGGGGCCCCATCTATAGTAACCATGAGTAAAAGATGGTATACACCTATGTCACTGAGAAATTATGATCGTGCAAACGATGGGGCGTTGTGGATACAGGTGAAGCAAAGACCTATCTTACATTGTGCCGTCCTCATTAGAAGCAAAAATTACGGTTTGCTTCTTCAACCCCTCCTGACGCAAATCTTTCCAATTTTGAATAAATCCGGGACAGCGTTGACCGCGCAAGCCCGCGCCAATATTTAAAGGTCTTTATCAAGTTATAAAACAGTCATTAAGCAGACGTAAGGAGGAATAAATACGCAAAAGAGTCCAAAATGGGGTGAACAGCTACCTATGAGAGGAGATGTGTTTCAAACAGTAATGAAGAGATTAGGGAAAGCCACTTGATTTATAAGTTTCGGAAATAAATGTATTATCGACGACCTGAACCCTTTATTGTGCAAGCCAATCCGTGTGCAGACGCGAGAATGGTTCCAGCAGCCGCGCGATGCCAGAAAGCGGCTGCTGGAACGAACCCAGCATACCACGACCCCTCGATCTCTACCGACCGAGCGGCCTCGGACCTGCAGCTCATGGGAAAAAGAGTTCGGTCGCGTTGGCTTCCTCAATCCTGCGGATTGCGCGTGCCCGCGTCAACGAGGGAAGACACCTGGACGTCTCAAGGTCGTTGTGGCGCTCGCAGCTAGCCGCTCGTTTCGCGCTTTTTGAGGATTATCCCTACAGAAAAAGCCGACACAAAAGAAGCCACTGCCCTCACGTGATTTTTGGGAGAGAGTGAAAGAGGAGGGCGCGAGGGGCATTTTCCTACCGTGCGGAAAATGGTTTCGTTGGTCGGTCTTTAAGAATAGGGGAAACTTTCGTCCCTAAAGCAGGGGGGCAAAGTTCCTCCGTCGTCTGCATCTCAATGTGGTGCCCCGAATCGAGCAACTGGAACTCACTAATGCTTAACGAAGACGCTACATCTCTTGTATGGGAAGAAAGGAGCAGCAAATAAAAACGTGACACGAGCTTTCCACGAATCGCGTTTATTTCCGAAGCCAGCTTCCCCGGCAGGTAAAGAAACTTGCGTTTCGAAAGCAGTCACTAAATATTCTCGCCGTCCTAGCACTGCGATGTTAAAAGGAAACAACCGACACCCAGTTATTTCGTGCACTTTACGTGCTATTCCTTCAGTCTAAAACTTCTTTTTATCGGTTCTACCATCATCCTTTAATGGTAAAATTAAAACTGCAACTATACGTACCTTAATTCATATTTCAAGACTGTCCTGTGCTTCCCCAGAGCGTAATCCCTTTTTGGGAGGAGACAGCAGGACATCGCGAGCGACAGTCCCATTGGCCACTGTACGATAGGGGCTACGGTTCAGACCAGTGTTCCAACATGGCTATCCGCAGGCCAATCGATTGAACCGTAATCGCTCAAGCGGTCCTAAACTCTTTAATGTGAACCAGAATGTCGACCTGCGGCACCCTGCCTCCTCTGATCACGGCCTGACCAGCGGCATCAATACCCAACAGCATCAATGCCGGACAGTTCACGTCATCTCATATTGTTGTTACACCACTGATACGCGAAAACACGGTCACATTCGCGAAAATTCCAGTCTGCGTTCACAACTCACAACACTGCCATCACGATGTTGCTGCTATGTCTGACAACCCGAAATACAAAACCACGTTGATTGCCGGTTGGCACTTGGCATCGGAAAACAGAACCGAACTCAGCACAGAACTCACCCAGCACCCGGCAGCAAACCTTGCCTGTCTTCGACGAACTTTCCGCGGTTTCCATAACGACGTCAACGTCGACACGTCGTATCGGAATCCAGAGGCGTTCACCTTAGCCCAGTGTATATAGCGCAGCAGGTACCGCTCCGGAACTTCGCTGTTTCTAACGTTTTCATTCGCTCGTTTGACTAAATTAGTGGTACAAACGTCAATGCAACCGAGATATTCAGCACGTTTGGGCTGGGAGGCAGAATTACTGCTCATTCACACTGGAATTTCACGCGCACTTGATGTCATCGAGTGTCCGTGCAATTGTACTGGATCTTTATACAACCGCGTACAAAACCGCTTTGCGAACGCAGATCCGCTTCCAGTGTGAATGAGCGGTTACAGGCGGCCTTCGCTGCCGCTGAAGCTCAATTAACTCAACAACGTTTATTGAACAACGTGCACGACGTGCTCGAAAAACGAAACCGAAAGAAGATGAGTCGGGAGGGCGAGAGCTTTCTCCCATCTGCATGGAGAAAAAGAAAAACGTCTCGTTCGTCCCTTCTCGTGTCCGCTCGGGGGCGAGTCAGTAGAAAGGGGGAAATCGCGCAGTTGCAACCTTTTTCCTTCTATATTTTTTTTGTTAGATTGCGTGCTGTTGTTTTGATCTTCGTTCCTTTTTATGAGCCATACTATCGTATACTCTAACAAGAATGGCCACGAGAGACGAAAGACACCCATATAGGTGCTGTATCTGTAGATTGACCGGAAGTTTGCCTTGCAAAATGGCGACAGCTGGAAGCAAAGTCAGTAGAGCGACTGAACGCATTCACAGAAGCTTACTAGAAAAAGGTCCATTACCCGACTCGCATGTGACATGACCTGATGGCTCCAACCATTTTTTAAACTTGTTTATGCTTAGATTTAAAACAAGCTGGAACATTCGCCCTTTTAGTATTTTTTAACCCTTTGGGTTCTGATGTTTCTTGTATATTGTAAAATGTACAGAGCACCACGATGTAGAAATATGCTGGCACAAGTTTTTGCACGCGAAATACCAAAAACAAGGTAACGTGGCGCAGCTAGTGCCGAAAATGCCACTTCGACTTTTATTTACGACACGGCGTGGCGCTACTTTCGCGCTGTACTTGATCTGCATGGTTGTGAAGGGTGACAGGTCGCTTTCATTACAAGGACGATTGGAACCGATAACAGCCTCAAAATAAGGAAGGACGAGTCAAAGTAACTGGACAGACCAACGTTTGGTCTGTCCAGTATATTTGATTCGGCATTTTTCTTTTTGCGTGTTTTTATTTGAGAAAAAAAAAAAACTGAATGCTGTCTATGTTCACAAATTGAACATTATTCTCCTTTCCTTCTGCTATAGCGCTCGTGCGGCTGACTCAGATAGTTATTTTCATTTTGTAATGTTGCACTTGAGTGACCAGTCGCATCTCTGTTTTCAAATACAGAGGAACCTATCGTCCCTATGACATTGTCGGTTCTGAATGTATTAGGATTTTAAATAAAACGCGTTAACTGCACCTCATCTAAGGTTGCAAGACAATTTAGTGCAATATAGCTTTACCAACAAGAGATGAATGAGAAGGCAGGAGAAGAACTGCCAAAAACAGCAAACAAATGATATTTGAATGAAGAATATCACCTACTCTCTTGTACTACTTCCTTCTAAAACTGCTGAAACCAGCTTAGCCGTTTTGGAGATGTTTTAACAAAATTGGCAAGGTCTGTCAGCAAGATAACAAAACCTCAATAAACACGTACGTCTTTTTACCATCAAAACACGTGGTCCAGAGATGTTCATACGGTTTGACTCTCAAGCCTATAGGTATCTTACATCAGTTTAGAAGGACAGTACCTCTCCTAACTTTAAATAAATAACATTAATAGGGGGTTTGTGTTTATTTTTCTACCAGTTTGTCACAAGCAATGAAAGTTTTATAATGAAGTACAGAAACTTCAACACCAACCCGACGGGAGAAAACACGACGATGTGCGTAAGTGCGATCATGATGGAAATGAACGTGACAACTCATTATGTGCTCCATAATATCACCTATTTGAATACGACAAGCAGCAAGATGTAAGTAATGTTTGCGTTTTCATGTTCACTTCACAGTAGTACTGAAAGTGGCCGCCAACGTTGCGCCAAAAAAACTCTTAGCAAAACGCAGGCGGCAACGTTAGTAAAACACTCAGTTGGGAACCTCGCCGTCGAAACCTGGGCCGCTGGCGTCCACCAAGATCGAGCTAAATACGACAACAGCGCCACTCTTTATCATTTGTCTGTACTGTGGTCACCTTGAGCTTATAGAAAGCATGCTTTTGCGTAAAAACAAACAAAAAAGACTCTTTTTGTATGAAATTTATTGGAATTTAGTACAGAATGAAGGGCGCGTAATGTTTTTAAAATCTTTAGTTTGCAAGGTTTTGCGGCACAATGAATATTGTTTTTATACAACCATGCCTTAGCGGTGCTTTCAAGTAGCGCGTCCCGACCTGGGTGCATTTTAACTTCTGTAGTAAGACGCGGCGTGTCCGCTGGGGAGACGGCGGTGGCATCCCTGTAAGTATCTATTTCGGCGCCGAAATGGCCGATTGAAGCCAAAATATACGTAACGTGCGGTTCCTGGAATGGCCGCTGCGGGAGAAATGGTGGCGTTGTGTTCGTCATCAGCTCGGTGCTCGAGGACAAATCGGGGCCGCTTTTTCAAAGCAATGTCCACGCCAGTTTCCCAACTGAGTGGTTTAGTACCGTTGCTAGGCGGACTCTCATGCTTAAGAAAAGTTTGCAGATTTTTATACCAGAATCGCACTTTTTATGTTTTGTTTCGACAGTGAAATATACCTTGTAACACCCGCTATCGACAGGGTTTTCTGCTATCGGGGTTTATTCTACTTTCAGTTTGGGGGTGTCATTTCGGGGTTTACACCTTTTCGCGCAGATACCTTGTTTTTTAGTGTCAATCTTCGGCGTCAGACAAAAGCCTGCTTTTCCTGGGGCTTATGTTGAGCAAAATAAGACACAGGAATGTTAGTCACCGGCCTCAAGGAAACATTATCCCTGACCTACTTCTAAGATGTCCCTATACCCATAACATAAGGAAACGAGGTGCGGTTCGGATGAAGCAGCTTTGCGAAGAGTTCATTGTTCTAAATTAGCATAAAATGTAACTGTAGATAAGGGTTTTTACCCCTATGCTAGGATTTTTCTTATTCAAGGACAGCTCCGATTCGGGGCTGTTTCACCTGATTTCAATATAACCGCAACGCATCTCAATATCCAGAGGTCGATTTTTACCGAATACACTGTGCCCTAGGTTATATCTTAAAATACTCCTACACACACAGCGAAAAAGTACACCCCTGGACGCGTAAACCGTTGTCCCAGGGCGGACTCCCCAAATGGTGTTCGTTTTACACGCAAGGCTCGGTGTATTTCGTTTGCACCCGAGGTGTCGTGTAAAATGAACATCTTTGAACGTGTACTTCGTTCTGCGATCACACGTCTAGGGGTGTTTTTTTACAATGGCGGCCGTTTGACGCAAGACGGGTTCTGCAAGCGAGGCCCAGCGCTTTACACGGCTTTTCGCCGCAGCGAAAGCGTAGTTTGCACGTGTTCGTTCGTAATCGTCCATACGTGCTGAACTACCGCAAGCATTCACCCCCAAGCGCCGACGCCGTATCCATTACGGCGATTACGCGACAGTGGGAGCGACCATCGACTGCATCCAGCAGCGTGTTTCTCCATCGAGCAGGTCACGTTCGCGTGGCGGTTCAGCCGATCGCCGAGGCCTCAAGCCGGTTGCATTGTCACCGACGCCGGGTAATTTCCACAGCAGTTATCTTTTCGCGACCACAGACATGAACTTTATTGAAAAAGCCCGTTTGCCGTGAGCGGCGACGAATAGCTCCGACACCAACCCGACCCGACCCTACCCGACCGGCGTTACCGACGTCCCGCTCACCTCTTTACCGCGAGCAAAGTTGTACGCGACGTTTCGACGTATCCACTCATATGTCGTGTGTACGCAAATTTTGCGGCTTTCCGGGTACGAATCTGCTACCGAAACGGCCAGCGAACGAAGACGAACTGAACGCCGGCGCTATGCGCCATTTAAACATGCGGTTACTTTTCTACTAGACTGTAGCTATGTCAATGTGGTGTGGTTCCTTACACATAAATGGACTGTGTACAAACAAAGCTAAAATAAAATTGGGCGGCTGCTTGCGCCACCTAGTGAGTATGCAGAAAATTACAAAAACGAAGGACATTTCGGCATTTGCGGAAGTGACACACTCGAACACGGACGGCAGCATACCAACACATACATCACAGCACATACCACAAGATCAACATACAAGCATCTACATACACAAACAACGAACAGAGGCACTAACAACCCGACACTCCTACTCAAGTATAATAGAAACCCGCTCGGTATATATAGCAGACTTTTTGTTTCAGACGAAGGTCCGGTGACACCCCCTGTATTTTATATGAAGGTAACGATATTACACAAATATTACTTATATAGTACGGCGACATAAATATAACTTGGGAAGGTACACATTTCTCTTAGTCTAGATTATAGCTAAAAGACACTCTATATTTAAAAAAAAATGTTTCGAGCTAGCCAAAATGTAGCAAAATCTGGTTTCGTTTTCGGAAGTTCAGCGCTCAAGGCTGGAATGCGCTAGCGAAGTGTGTGCTTGCTTCTGTCAAACTATAATCCATTATATGACGCTCTCAAAGCTGCTGGCTGCAGCCCCCGTCTTGGTTTAGGGTTTGATTCACACGCGCTCCCGTGGAAATGAAATTATGCGCGCTCGAGTCGATATTATTGACAGCGTGAAGTATAAACCGAATGTAAACGATTTTGCGAGCGACGAGAAAAGCGACGGCGACCCGCTTCGCTGACGCTCGGTCATTTGTGCGACGACGCAAGCCGCGTGAAAGCGGAACGATGTTTTCTAGAAATCCAAAAACCGAGTGACGCGACGAGCGATAGTAAGAAATCTTCGTAATACGTCGCTGACTCGTCGCTGTCGCCGTCGCTCGCTAAATCGCTCTATGCAGTTCAGCGTTTATACTCACGCTAGTGCCGACCTGCATTACCCGCTGAGCCCAAGCAAGCGATAAGGATATTCAAATATGTCACAACAGTGGCGTGCATTCGCTAAGAAAACATATATCTCAAATTCCTGCAGTTTGACGTCGGGATCCGTTACTTGTTCTGCTGTCACCTTGGCGAAACGGTCACTAAAGAGAAACTAGTCAGTTTGATTTATCAGAGATTATAAAAACCTTATCTAGCCACTGTTATGCACAAAAGCACTCTAGAATAAACTGAACACAATCGGTAACTTAATTTTCCAAGCATAATAATTAAAAAAATCTTAGAAAACAATGTATTTTTAAGGTGTTTCAAATAAAAAAAACTGGAAAAGGAGCCTTATTTCAGCTGCACTATCACGTAAATACTTTGGGAAAAAAATATCTATTGAGAAGTAGGTTTTGCAATCTCTAATTTGCTTCTTTCAACTTTCCAGTTACTTTATGCGTACTTGCAGATTGTATCCTGACAAATCTAGAAACAATTGTATAAAAAGTAACAGTCTATATAAAATTTATAGCTTAATTAAATTCACATTTGTCTGATAATGTTCAATTTTAAATATGAGTTTTATATTTCACATCTATTATTTCAAATGATTGAATTACATGCTGCTTGATGCATGCTGTGCCGCCCCCCCCCCCTCCCCTTTTAAATATATATATCCTGTATATTTGCTGGTTAGTTGTTGTAAACCTCTTAATGTCGTGTTATTTGTTTGTTGTTGTAGGTGTGTGAATGCATATGTTGTACCCTACTCCTACTTGGGCCTTCAATGGCCAGTAGTATCCTCTAAATAAAATTAAAAAACAAGTGAGCAGTAAAAATCTGGAAGACAAAAGTAAGCACAGAACCGTGCAAAAATGCATTCAGTATATGAAACAGATACAGATATGGGCCTCTGGCGGTCCATCGGTTCAGCCTCCACACCCCCTAAAGATGGCAGTGTTGCAATATTACGAAGCAGCGCACAGGTAGACAGTTACCCAAAATCCAAACACAAAAAACTCACATCAGCGCTGTGCGAGTGTATATTTTTCTGTATTTGAATTTTGAGTAATTGGTCTACCTGTGCGCTGGTTCGTAATTATGCCGTACCAACTCGCCCAATCTGCCGTATTAATAGTGTTGCAAAATACTTAGATCAACTATAATGCTAATGACTGCAGTGTATAAAAGCAAGCTACTGGTCGGAACGAGCTTGACGGTACGAGAATAAAGATAATGTTTTCACAGTTAAACTCTGAGTCTGTTGCACCGTCTCTTCCGTCCTCAAGATCGAAAGTGCTACAGATTGGTGACCTGGACATGATGATTGACTCCGAGCACCTGCTATCCAGGGGAATGTTCTTCGTGGCCAAGGGCACGGCAATGGCTCTGCCTTTTCGGACGAAAATGCAGTAGGCACATATTCAACTTTCTCAGCCTCCACATCTGCAGCGCCTCCGCAACCACCTCTGCTCTGTCGCATCTAGCACCGGCACCTCCCAGCAATGGGCTGCGACCACCTTGCTTGCCCCACCGGTTTGGCAAGTGAATATTCATCGACATCTTCACACTGTTCACAAGGCATGTTGCTAGCCGACCAGGTTATCCTCATCGTTGCCATGTCAGGCATTTGCTCTCAGTTCGGTTCCGCATCTTAGGGGATGTTGCATCGGCCCCGCAGTCGGCCGGCGTCCCCCTTTCAGTTCGAGGCTGTACACTCCAAACTGATCGAGCCGGACTGGAAGCACGACAGGGTCGATTTCCCCCGTCTGCTGCCTCATTTCCTGACCTCGGCGTCAACTACCATGCACGGCTTCCAAACGCTCTCTTTCCTGCTCTCTAGTATGTCATCCTGCTTGCGGTACATGTCAACAGCAACGACACCTCTCTGGAGCCGCAATCACTTCAACAAAATCGTGCCATTCCTCACAGTGCAGAGCTGAGGGCGATAGCTCTGCGGCAGTCTATCGGTTCAGCC